GGTGAACAGTTGTTCACCGAGTCCTAGATGTACGCTTCTGATGTAGCAGTAAGCTGCTACCAAGTCCCCTCTCAGCCTTCTCTTTTTCAGGCTGAAGAGTCCCAGGTCCCTCAGTCTTTCCTCATATGATCAGAGACTTGCATGGCAAGCCATACAAGGGATCCTTCTCTGGACTCTCTCAAGCTTTACCATGTCCTTGTTAAGGTGCAGAGCCCAGAACTGGATGAAGTACTCCAGCTGCAATCTCACCAGTGCTAAGTAGAGCTGACTAGAGCAGGAGAATCACTTCTTTGTAATGGTTTTGCTGGACATACATCAATTGATGCATACCAAGGTATTCTTGGCCCTGCTGGCTAGAGCATTGCACTGCCTGCTCATACCCATACTGTGGTCAACTATTACCCCCAGGTCTGTGGTGGCAAGTGATGGGGGATCTTCAGTCCTGCTGCCTGATGAGATGCAGCAGTTGCACAAGCACCCATGACACGAGTTTTGCCTGTGAGCAGCTAGGGGTGCAAGGCCCCAGAACCCCCCTGCATCTATCTCCTTAACAGCTGGCAGGCTTTGTGGCTGCAGCAGGGCCTAGCAGCCAGGCCTGCAGTGGTTTCCTGCCCCTTCTGCCCCAAGACAGACACAGTTGCACAAGCACCCACGACATGAGTTTTGCCTGCCTGTGACCAGAGGTGCAGGGCCCCAGAACCCCTGTACCTATCTAGTTGACAACTGGCAGGCTTCGTGGCCTCAGCAGGGGCTAGCAGGCCTGCAGCTTTCACCCTGCTGCACCTTAACGCAAACAGTGTCACCCACGTCATGAGTTCTGCTTGTCTGCAGCTTGAGGTGCAGTTTCCCCAAAACCCCTGCACCTATCTCCTTGAAACTTGGCAGGCTTCATGGCATCCACAGGGGCTAAGATACTTGCAGTTTTGACCCCACTGTGGCTTAACACATACATGTAACGTGAGTTTCTCTCTCAAGACTTTGGGGTGCAGTTTCTCTGAACCCCTTGCACCTATCTTCTTGAAACTTGGCACACTTTATGCCCTCAGAAGGGGCTACCATTTCTGCAAGTTTTATCCAAATCCAGCCAAAAATTACAACATTATAGGCTGTTTCAACCTTCCCCATTATAGCCAATGGGCAAAACATAGAAACAGCGTTGAAATGGCGAAACGTTTTGACTTGCCTCGTTTTGTTTCAAGACTGTTTCAACCATATATGTTTCAACCTTGAAACAGGTCAAAACAAAACTTGTTGCAAAATTTCACACAGGCCTAGTAATAATGTCACAAGTTTGAATGTACATTCAATACCTGAAAAAGCTTCTGCTTCTCTGGTACTCTATTTTTAAACTGCCTGCATGAAGTAGTATTTATGGTCCTCTGGGAAGTCTGCCGGAGAGTCTAAAACAAGAAATGTATAGTTTTAGAAGAGTGTACTTTTAGCAAGATATTCTAGATATATTAAGTTTGAAGTGAAAGTACTTTTATTAATATTTAAAACTTTAGAAGCTAATTTATGCCTTTCACACAAAACTAGAACATGCTGGGGGAGGGCTCCAATTCCAAAAATGTAGAAATGGTTACAGAATGGCACTAATGTTTGTCAACTGAAGGCACATTTCTTGAGTTTCTTCCACACACGCACACCGCCCCCCGCCACTGAGTCCATCTAGTTGTTGCTTTTACTGATTTAAAAAAAAAAAAAAAAAAGGCCATGGGACAGGAAGGATGTAGTCAGGGAACTTCTGGAGGGACTGGATGTATTTAAATCAGCTGGTCCAGATGATCTCCACCCCAGAGTGCTGAGGGAATTAGCTGAGGTCATTGCGGGACCCCTGGCATAGCTTTATGAGCACTCATGGTGCTCTGGAACCAACTTCCAAGCGAAGTGGTGCTGGCTCCTATCCTGGGAGTCTTTAAGACAAGGCTAGACAATCACCTTGCTGGGGTCGCTTGACCCCAGTACTCTTTCCTGCCACGACAGGAAAGATCATCAAGGGGTTGGACTTGATGATCTGCTCAGGTCCCTTCCAACCCTACTAACTATGAAATGGACCACAAAAACACAGCCAAGTCTAATACATGACATGCATACAACAGGCTCAGCTGCACACTACAGAGTCTCCAAGCACTCCCAGACAGTAGCTTGTGTGGAGGACAAAAAGATCACGGACTAAATATAGACACTGGATTTATGGCACGTTATAACCTGCCTGCCAGCCAGTAACCCCAGGTAACCCTCTACAAGTTACCAGCTCCATTCTGTCACGAGGTCACCGTCCCCCTCCCTGATGTGCCTCCCTGCCAGGTGTTTGCCTGGCACGGCCCCACACTCCTGCCCCTTCCAGGGGAGCACGACACAACAGTGGACTCTCCCTGTGCCTGAAGAAGACCATATGTGCCCAAAAGCTGGCAAGGAACAGTTTTTCTAGCCATCCTGTTGGTCTCATAAAAGATACCGCACGTGCCCAAAGTACCTGTTCTGCCCGTGTCCTTAGGCCCACACGGTCACAGCCAGCCCCGGTGCAGCGCTCCCCCCCACACCGAGAGCCAGCTCTTCCCCGCACAGGGAACTGCGCCATGAGCGCAGCGTCTGCTGGGCACCACCCTCCCGCTTCCTCCTTCGGGCCCAGGGCAGCGCCTCTGGCCCGAGCTAGAAGCGGAGCCGGGCGGGCAGGGGCAGGGGCAGAGGCAGAGCCCGGAAGGCCCCAGCGGCGCCAGACCCCGGGATCGGGCCCGAGGAGACGGCGTTAGATGCGGCCCCAAGCGGGGGGTGGGGGGGAAGCCGGCCCGGCCGCGCTCACCAGCAGACCCCGCAGCATCTTGGCCCCTTGCAACATCCCGCCCGCTCTGCAGCAAGGACAACGGAAGCGGAAGAGCCGCTCTACAGGAAGACGCGCCGTACTACAGAGAGAAAGGCGGGGGTGGCCCCGCCCCCCCTCCGCGCCAAGCCCGGGGTGGGGCGGTGACGTCAGAGGTGCTGGGGGCTGCCGGCAGGCGCAGGCTTCAGTGCGGGGAGCTCGGCTTCCCCTCTCCCTCGCAGGCCTCCGCAGGGCCCTGCTTGAGAAGCGCTGCCACACACCAGCCGCCTGCGAGCCCGCGCTCTTGTGAACTTGGCCTCAACTCACTGCGGACGAGGATCCGACAGCCATCGCAGTGCTGCTGGCTCCCTCGGATTTGCTGAGCAGGAGGCCGACTCTTAAGGTCTGGCCCCTTTCTGAGGCATCTCAAACCTGCCGAGGCAACGTACTTGGGTGTCATTGCCCGTCCAAAGCCGCCCTTGCGTTAGAAGGGTCTCCACAGCTTCACCTGTGGAGCCGCTAGAGGGCCACCAGCACCACTCCGAATAAGAGCTCGTTCCTCCTTTGGGATCGGTGTGGGAGTGTTTTATGGAGAAATGAAAGAAATGTTTGAGAGAAAGCAGTGCAGTGCTAGTCAAGTGACAGGACTGGAAGCCTGCGACTCCAGCTCGCTTTTCCATGTTATACCTTTCCAGTGCTGAGGGGGCGTAAGCGCTTGGAGCTAGATGGATTTAACGACCCCTGTACACGGAAAGCAGATCATGCAAGGCTATGCACCGCGCTGCAGACACTGACGCGGCTTCTGGCCCAGAGATCATGTGCAGAGCAGGTTGTTTGAGTGCTTCACCACCTGGTACAATTTGTCTTGCCCTGGAGATATGCCCTAAGGATTTAAGAAGCCACATCCAAAATGTTTACAAATGTATTTTGGAGATGAGTATAGCATAGCTGTATCCAAGCTGCCTTTAATCCCTGTGAGAAGCAGGGTAAATCAACTCACGTGAAAGTCCACATTGCTACAGCTAGACTGTGCAGTATTTTGGATCTGGGTATAGCACTGCTGTATAGCATAGCTTAGGGGCCTTCAACCTTTTTGGGTCAGTGTACCTCTGGCCACAGGATGTGGGGACGGGGAGGAGTGTGCACAGCCGCCAGGGATACACTGCTCTGTGTCCGGCTGCGAGGGGTACACTGGCCCAAAAAGGTTGAAAAGCCCTGAGCTATGCTATACAGCAGTGGCAGTGCAGGATCATGCATGGTGATGCTCCGTCCTCATCTGCCCACACATACCCCCTAGGGCCTTCTTGAGTACCCCTGGGGGTACACATACCCCCAGTTGACAATCCCTGGCATAGCTGTATCCAAGCTATTTTTAATCCCTGTGAGGGAGGAGCAGGATAAATCAACTTGTCAAGTCCACATTGCTACAACCAGATTGTTGTCAGCATCTAGCAGTGTAAATGTAACCTTTGAATCAGGGGTAGGAAACCTTTTTCACCTGCAGATTGGAATGACCCATGGGGGATCACAGGCTGCGGCTGGGCAGGTGCCACCTGCACTTGTCTCCATGGTAGCACAGGGAGAGCAGCTGCAGCCAAAGCCCCTGCTACTGAAGCCCCACATCTGTGGGTTGGATCCAACATTCCCAGGTCAGATCCAGCCCATGGACTGTAGGTTGCTTTAGATCCTCTAAATTTCCTCTTCACCACTGCAAGAACTAAGGGCTTCTCCCTTTTTGCTGATTCTGGGCATGTCTAAGTCTTACAGCACAAACTAGCTAGGCACCTGTCTATGCTTATTATGCCTGTGCCCCATCAGGATTCATGAACTATCTCCTCCTATTCCTGCCTGGCCTGCACAGCCAGTAGCTCTTCTGAGAATGCAGGGGCGGACCCAACCTCCCAATAAAATACCAAGCCGAGAGGTGGTGGAAGCTCTTATCCAATAGCTAAGAACGCTCACCTATGATTTGGAGATCCTGGTTCAACTTCCTCCTCCCAGATGAATGCTCTAGTCATCAGGCTATATGTTATTTTGGGAATAAGATTACATCTTTCTCATTGAACATTTTCGTCTTCACAGGGAGTAATTAAATATTCAATGGAACCAAGGATCTGGCTCCAAACTTACAAGTGCATGTTACTTAGAACAGTGGTTCTCAACCTTTTTTGTACCAGGACAAATTTGTAAACATTGATGGCCAGTCCCAACCCAGTGCCCCTCACTCCCAAACTGCTGCCCCCTGCCCCCTACAGTGTGGGGTAGGAGGTGCATGTTTGGGGCTGGGGGGAACTGAGCAGCTCCTTGCAGGCTGGAACTCTGACAGTCTGCAAGGGAAAAGCCATGGTTTCTAACATTTTTCTCCTTCAAAGGAAAACCCATTTTTAAAGTTTGTTTATGACCCTTTCATATATTCTTGCGTCCCACATATCGATAAACACTGACTTAGAGAATGTGGCTTCACTTTAATCTCATTATCATAGACCTCAGTGCACAAGACTGGTACAAATCCCTTAACTTCCTTTTCAGATGTACAACACTTTCTACTACTACTGCTATTTTCATAGATTTCACAGGCATTAGGGCTGGAAGGGACCTTGAAGATCATCAAGTCCAGCCCTCTGCCTCAGGGGCAGGAAGTCCGCTAGGGTCAAAGGACCCCAGCAAGATAAGCATCCAAGCATTTCTTGAATAAGTCCAGAGTACCTTCCTGCACCACATCTGGACGGAGTCTATTCTAGGTCTTGGGGGCTCAGACAGTTAAGATATTTTTTCTTATGTCCAGCGTAAAACAGTCTTGTAGGAGGTTATGACTGTTGGTCCTTGTTTTTCCTTGGGACGCTCTGGTGAACAGATGTTCTCTCAGATCCTGATGTACACCCCTTGTGTACTTATAGGCAGCCATCAGGTCCCCCCTGACCCTGTGCTTTTCCAGACTGAGGAGTCCCATGGCTCTCAGCCTCTCTTCATAAGGCCTATTCTCTTGCCCTCTGATCATGCGTGTGGGTCTCCTCTGGACTCTCAAGCTTCTTGACGTCCTTCTTGAATTGCGGAGCCCAGAATTGGATGCAGTACTCCAGGGCCAAGGCCAAGGACAGCAGGAGGATGACATCCTGAGATTTACTTGAGAAGCATCTATAGGTGACGAGCCAGGGTTTTGTTTGCTTTACCAGCTGCGACATTGCATTGGTGGCTCATGTTTATCTTGTAGTCAATCATGAACCCCAAGTCTTTCAGCAATGGTGCTAGCAAATGTAGCACTGCCGAGCCTATAAGTAGGCTGCAGGTTCCACAGTGATATTAAATGGAATGTTAATTCTTCTCAACCCGAAGTTGGGCATGCAAGACGATATCAGAACTCATCCTGCTGACCCTTGACAACAGCATGCACCAGGGCTAAAAACTTGGATCCTAAGGCACAGGAGGAGACAGAACATGGCAAGGAGGAAGGTGGCCACTCCCCTGCTACCACCATTTTTGGATCTGTAGGGCATCCTGTAGGCCAAGTGCAATAGATCCACCACATTTGGCCTGCGGGCCAGAGGTTGAGCAGCCTTGGTGTGTACCTTTTCTGCAACCACAAAGAGTGCAACACATGCAGCCCTTTCTTCTTGTCAATCCTGTCAAGGAAAATTTTGATTGAATGCTGCCAACGCAGAGAGAATTAAAGTTGACATGCGCAAGACAGGCTCATGGAATTTTCCATTGGGCTCACCCAGCATGTGTCCCCTGGGC